AGTTTGGAAACACTGTTGAACTTACATGATGAATTGTCATTATGGGTTATGAGCCATGGATCAAGTACGTCAGTATTTCCTGATATTGTTGAAACGTGGAAATGAAATAAAGACCGTTGGAAGATTTATTCAGTGATGATTATGGGGATGATCTATGGATCTGCACTATGGTATTAAAGAGTGAATACACTGGAAGGATAATGAATTGACTTGTTGACATGCATCAGTTTGAGAGTTGTGTAACTCGAGTTGTTTGATAATATGATCGATAGTCGTAGATTGTAAATGACTTGAATCTTCGATTCTATATTTCATCTAAAATCACTTCGGTCATGTTTGAAAAAAAAACAAGTAACGCAGATGGAAAAGATTCTGAATATCTCATTTGGTTCAATTGGGCTGAAATCCTATGAATTTAAAGTATATTCCTGAATACCCCTGATTGTTTGGGTAATGGAATCACTCGCAGTAAATCTGAATTTAGAATTATTATGTATAAAGGTTCCTGAACGTTTTCCTAAAGCACACGAAAATATAGTGGGATTCTAATGTATCAACATTAAATGTCTGGCTATATCGGTTAGTAATCGATTCTCCTCAATAGGACCTTGTTCCAGGAATTCGATCAAATTTCATAAGTTTCATGTTATCCAAAATGATAACTACAATGGCCTCTGGAAATACTGGGATTCTCTAGTGTGTTCCCTACTTATTACTGAACTGTTTTATTGGTTTTAATATGTGGTACACCGAATTCATTGGTTATTGTTTTATGGATGCACCAATTTAATGTGACAATTTATGGAATATGGCTGCTATCTAATTTTTGTTTTGAAATGGTATATGATTACCATGTTTTTGGATTTATGGAATTTATGTCACGGTGCAAAGAGAGATTCCTTGGAGGTTACAAGATGAACTTACCACACTTTCAGGAACACCTGGAGGGGGCAAAGAGAGATTCCTTGGAGGAGGCCCGCTAAGATGCGATCTCTTGTCAAAACACCATTCTCCAATCTTTCCATATGTTAATTCTCCCTGTAATGTCAACTCAGAGTGAAAATATTGTAAGCAAAATTTCATCTTAAAGCTGTAAACAAATCAAAAAATAACATATCGATTCCAAAAACAATAAGTTCCAGAGAGAGCTTCTTGTATGGCTGTACCTTTAAATTGTAGTCACATCCGTAAGTATAATGGATTATAAATTGTTCCCGATTTCCAAATCCCACAGTGGCTGATAACAAACAACGATGACAGCGATGAGAGTTGAATATCAAATTGTAGCTAAAGTTGATTGAGAGCCAAAAAAAAAGGTTCAGTGCAATATAATAAAACCTGTAGCATGAAGTCTTCACGAAGTACGTGCCGCACATCATGTAGTGCTGATGCCACAGCATATGCATACCTAAATTTCAATGGAATGGTCACACGTGTCAACAGGCCATATCAGAAAAAAAGAATAAAAATAAAAGAATTTAAAAAACGAAAAATGATGCTGACATTTCTTGCACCCATCCAGACGCCTGATCGGTTGCTGGATCATCTTTCATCCTTAATGAAATATTCATCCATGTAGGTGAAATTTTCTCTAGCTCAGACTGTTATGAAACAAGAAATTATGATTTAAATTTGCACAAATATTAATGTGAAAGAAATTGAAAGTTGATTTATGCTCAGAGGAAAAGCGTCACACAATCTATGACGATCTTAAAGGGCTACCTTTCTGATAATCACTGGCGAATTGCCAATTGGATCGATGTTCATCAGAGGACCCTTCTCCTTGGGTTAATACTTTCTAATAATAGTCTTGTGATCAGATGGCTTAATGTAAAAGAAAGGGAACCCTGCTGGATTTGTTCCACGAGCCAAGTTAGGCAAAGGATTTACGAATATACGGTCAGGTTCTGCCATTAGAATATATCTGCGTCAATCATAATGCAGTAACTTTTCAGATAAAATAAAGGAAGAGCATACACCATGAATGGTTTTATTGGTTGAATGAAAACTCACGCAGTCAATTGTTGCTTTTTCCAACCATTGTAAAAAAGCCCATGGTCTATTCAAGACAACATACCCCTGAAGACGGGATTGAGAGAAAGCAAGAAAATTTTAGCTAAAACAATATGTTTTTAGTACATTTTATGTCTTACGAGTAATGCTGCAGATAATTCGCTGTAAAATTATGATTCAAGTAAAAACAATATGAACATCTTCGACTTGCAATGACAAATTATGGATAAGCTTGATCCATATATATATGGTATATCTATCAGTTTGGCTGTTGCTCGTTCACTGAGTTAAATGTTACAAAAAACAAGAGGGAATGAAGACTGAAATACTAAACAGCAAGAGACTCACCCGATCTAAACCCTCCGGAAAAGGATCAACAATAAAAGTTGGAATCTCCTCCATCAAACGGTCAGGCTTCCCCGAATGCAAAATTCGAGTGAACTTTCCCATCTCTGATCCAGGCATATCTCTTACCTTATAATACCAATAATACATAATACATAATACGACACTGCCATTGGCTATATGGAGCATCAGTTGCCATGAGTGCAACATGGTACTTTGACTTCGAACCCCCAAATTCATTCAAATTCCCGGGCATTAGTAAATGATCATCCCACTCTTCTGAAGATGTCTTATAGTGTATTATCATAGTCAACAAATTATACGTAGCAAAGAAAAACCCTAGGATTAAAAGTACCAAAAAGAGCGGCGGAACACGCTTCATCTTTCACTACACAATACAAAAATCCCGCCTTTCTTACAGCCACAGCGCTTAACTCAAATTATGCAATCTAGAGCCACATTTGGACAGAGAGAAAATCACAACAACTCCTTTCAACCGTGCTATACAGTATAGAATTGCAGCAAGTAAGAATACCCTTTGTAGCAAAATCTCAAACAATATCATAAATCCCTCAGAAATCCATAGAAATGAATCTGCACCAATGCATTGCAAGCAGTATGACAGTAAGACACGAGTCAATGCTGCCTCAGAACGGGCAACGATTAAACTAGAAAAAGCAAAATAAGAACGATTCAATACGAAAACAACAATACGAAAATCTGGGTATTGATCAAAATTCACAATTGGAAAAGATCAGATCTGATATTACACTCTTTCACTTAAAAAGAGGAAAAACCCAGAAATCAAATAATAACAGAAACCAAGATTTTCTTTTTCAAAATGAAAATAAAATGAGATAAAGGAGAGATGGCTGTAGTAGTACCTGAATTTTACTGAGGAAAAGAGGGCCTAAAATTTCGAATGTTCAACGTCAATGGAGAAAAAAGCGGAAATTTTGGCAAATTGGAAAAGGGTTGAATTGAATGCATCTAAGATCTTGGGGTCTACTTGGTGGACGACTGAATTGGTTTATGCTCTAAAGATCTTTGCATTTGGCAAGTGACTATTCAATATTCGCTTTGGTTTTCATCATATGTACGATTTGGTACATCACCTCTTTTAATTCAATTAAAGGGCAAATTAAGTATCTAGCCACTTAATTATTCTCACAATTTTGTTTCGATCAAAAAACTATTATGTTTTATAAAATTATACATACAGTTACGTTTTGATTCTGATTTAGTCACTCGCTGTTAAAAATTAACGATAATGTTGACGTGTCATCATTGTAGACACTCATTTTTGTCTGAGTTTTTTTTAATTTATTATTATTATGTTTATGTTTATTATTATTATTAATTATGTTACATATATATTTTTATAGGCCAAAGCCCACTACAACATCAACCTAGACCCGAAGCCCACTACAACCAAGCCCAACATCAAGCTAGCCCAAATTCAGATCCAATTGTTGACCCAGTCTGAACTAACCCATCAAATTAGGGTTTTAAACCCTAAAACAAATTAAGGTTTCAACCCTAATCCCCTAACTGTTCAGCCACCGCCTTCAACTCCTCAGTTCCCAGCCGCCGCTCAAGCCAGATTCTCATCACCGTGTGAGCCATTGTCGAGCCACCGCCATTCTCAAACCTGCACTAAACAGTGACCGAAAGCCATCAAACTGTGAAAAATGGACAGAAAATCAGAAAAAAAATCCAAAAGAAATCTTATCCTAATTCTAGGATATTATGACCCTATGAAAATCTAATCGATCATCCATCAAATATCAGTCACGCATGTAAGACCAAAGGAGGGAAGATAAAAAGGAAAAGAAGATAGAGAAGAGGGGATTCGGTGGGGGGTCTCAAAGCAGAAGGTGAGGGTTAAAAAAAAGGAGAGAACAGGGGGGTTCGAAAAACCAAAGAAAAACCAGAGGAAGCATTTGAACAAAACAAAGAAAATATAGAGGTGAGAGGTTGAGATTTTACCTTTCCTGGGTCTTCATTGGAGTCACTAACCGGTGGGTATCGGTTGGGGTTGTTTTGTGGCCCAAGGAGGTGGTTGTAGGGCTCTTCGAGCCTTATGAAGCTCGATTGAACCATGGGTAACAGAGGGTAAGGAGAACTGGGGTCTTTGGGGGTTTACCTGCTCCCTATGGCCACCGTTCTACGGTGGCCAGGGAGCCCCCGGGTGCTCTGTTCTTCTCGGTGGCGAGGAGGCAGAAAAGAGGGAGAATGAAAGTAGAGAGAAATGAGTTTGAGTGGCTGGAGAAAAGAGAGGAAGTGAAATATGGTTTGAATGAAACCCTTAAAAAGGGTTTATATTTCAACAACTAAACGACGCCGTTTCAAGGGGAGGGTATGTGTGTTTCAGCATAAAAGGGTAAATATCCCGTTTAGTCCTTGCATCTTTGTAACATTATTCCCGTGTTTCTCATATTTTTAGGGTAAATAGCATTGTAGGTCCCTGTTCATTTGTAACACTTACATTTTAATTATTAATAAAACTTTATGGAATTTTATTTTGAGCATCTACTTTTATTTGTTTGCATTTTAGTCATTATCTGGTTGGTTATGATATTTTTATTAGTGTTTGAATTTGGATACATTATTTATATTAATTTCATTTTAGTCACTGGTAGCATGTGTTGTATAATCTTATAGATGTTCGAATTTGGAACTAATATTTGTAAATCTTGTATTTTGGTCACGGTTTAGTAGTTGATTTAATTATTGTTGACCCTTTAGGATTCTGGTTTATTTTATTTTAGTCCTATATGTTATTTATGGGTTATTTTTATTTTAGTGCCTGTGAATGTTTATATTTTGATTTTGGCTCTGTTTTTTTCTTTATTTACTGTCTAGTCTCTTAAATTTCTGTTTTGCCATTTTAGTTCTTTAAATTTTGGTTGTTATTGTTTTAGCCCCTTCAAGTTTTTGTTTTTCTCCACTTTGGTCCTTGTAAGTTCAAATACTTAAATTTTTTTATTTGTATTATGGTTTGTAATATTTATTTGTTTTCAGTTTGTTATGTATGTGTATGTTTCCTATTTTATATATTACTATGTATAACATTTAATAAATGTTATTTTTGTATATTGTTATTTTTCATTTATAATTGTTTTCGTTTTTACCTTATTCAGTGATATGTTATTCGAATGTTTCAAGAACGCGTATTTGTAAAACGGTCGTGGAGAGTATTACTTGATCGATGTGGTACAATCCGGCACGACATTTAAACAAATGGGGACTTGAAATAAATGGATTTTTTTAGTTAATTAATTCATTTTATTTCACGTTAAACAATGCAATGTATGTTTTTTCAACATCAATTTGTTTATTTTAATCAAATGTCAATTTTAATTTATATTCGATTAGCATCTTTTACAATCAATTATGAGGGAACTGTTTTTACTGACTAGGAATAGTCAAATTAGTTTTCCCGATGGAGGATTGTTAATTTCGAGATTTCTTTTCAATGTCAAAGAATTTTCTCTAATTAATTAATTCAAAATAAATTAATTAACTTTAATAAATGGATCGTATTTTAACTTTATATTCGTTTCATTATTTCCACCATGTACGACAACGTGTAAGCGACATAGTACCAATTTTGGGCGTTGTGGGGTGTTAATCTTTTCCCACGTGTAATCGACTCCCGAACTCGTTTTAAATGAATCTTTGTAAACGCATACCATTTATGTCTTAAAAAAATGATTTTTCTTAAATTATTTTTAAAAGACGTTTTTTTAGGTATTCGACCTATCTAATTCAAAGGTCGATGGTGACTCACATTTCAATTTAATTCTAATTAATCCAAAATCATCCAATTTTTTCAAATAAAAGTCATAATTATTTTTTAAAATAATATTTAATTGTTTTATCGAAAAAATGGTTATGACAATCATAATATAACGACACTTCATCATTGAGAAAAATTATCACATTGACATTCATGTTTTAAACTTAACAACATTATGATCATGTTATCGATAAATTTACTATTCACATAAATAACTATCTCCTTACAATCATTCAGATTATAAATTAAGTCGGATTTTATTACGTGTCTCGTGTAGTTGAAAGTTGAAAGTTGTATGTTACAACCAACAATTATTTCATACTGTAGGAACCCTCCGTAATTATTCATGTATTTCATACGAACCGCTTTAGATGCTCCCAACGCTCCCTAATAAAGTATAGAAGATAAAATATTGAAACAGATTGTAGTGATGCCGTTGATGTCTTAAACGAAAAAGAATGCTTTGGAGGTGGATTGTCAATAACTCCGCATGTCATGAATCTGGTGAGGAAAGAAGGGCAAGTTGTCATCAACCATGTTCCTCGGGCTGGTAATTCTGTTGCAGACGAGATGGCGAAATTGGCGAGGGGGATAGTCTGGGTGTGAGCTACTTCCAGGAACCTCCAGTTTCTGTGCGAGAGATCTATCTCAAGGTGGTTAGAGTTAATAGCCAGGATACTCTTATAGGCTAGTTTAGTTTTGAGTTTAGGGTTTCGGGTTTAGGTAGAGACAACAATAGTGGTGGAAAATCATTGATCGTAAAAGTGGCCAGAATAAGAAACAAATAAATAAAAACATAATAATCTTATTCTACCATATTTATGGTTCACAATACATTTATGTGGGAGATTCTAACATATAATTCTATATCGTCGTGGTTGAATCCTTTCGAGCAAGGATGATCCAACAAAACACACGATACAAGACAAAGAAACCAAACATGATCCCGACATTCATCCACCTCGAATCCTCGTCAAGCCCCCTGCTCTTAAGAACGTCGTTCCCCGTCATCAAAAAAGAACCCATTTGCTTTAAATGCAAAAGGTATGGTCATATCAATCGCGATTGTCTGAATTTGAAAACAATGATAATCCGAGAGGAGGATACTAGTTGGCCTGATTCAGAAACAGATTGTCCTGATCATACGGAAAAAGAGACGAAAATTGAATCGGATGGTGACAGGTTTGACGGAATATGCTTAATTGTGAGGCAAAACTTAAGCATTCAGACAATTAATGACTCATATATTCAAAGAACAAACAGCTTTCACACAGGATGTCAGATAAAGGATAAAGCTTATTCTTTGATTATGGACAATGGATACACTTAACTTGCCTAGTCAATAACATCCTAAGTCGAACTGCTTACAATGGCTTAATGAGAATTTTGAACTAAAGGTGACAAGACAATGTCTCGTTAATCTGAAGATGGGTAAATATTGTCGCGATGTTTGGTGTGATTTACTACCAATGCAAACATATCACATCCTTTTGGGACGACCGTGGCAATATGACAACGATGTCATATACTATGGTAAGACAAATAAGTACTCTTTGAACATCAATGGCAAACAAAATAGTTTACGATCAATGCATCCGAAAGACATTCTCCAAGATCAGAAAACAATTTGTGAGGAGGTTGGGAATTTCACAAAAAAAAAAGGCAAAAGATGTCAAAACCGATAAAAAGCCAAAAGAATGACCCACGAGAGGTGAGTGAATCTATTTGTGAGGGGAAAAAAGTGTCACAAAACGTTTATGCAAGTTCAAATTACCTGAGAGAAACATTTTCCCAATATAAGACTTGCATCCTTATCCGATTCAAACATACCATATTTTCTGTTTCTACTAACCTCACGAATTTGCCTAGTGTTTTTATTTCTCTTCTGTAGGGATTCACAAATATCTTAAGTGATCCACTAGATGGTTTACCACCTAAAAGAGGAATTGAACATCAAATTGATTTCATCCCGGGATCATTCACTCCAAACTAACTACTTACCAATGCAATCTCGAAGAAACCAAGGAGTTGGAACGACAAGTTGAAGCTTTATTACAAAAAGGCTACATTCGTGAAAGCCTTAGTCCATGTGTTGTTCCACTTATTCTCGTGCCAAAAAAAGATGGCACATTCCTAATGTGTGTAGACTACAGACCAATCAACAAAATAACAATCAAATATAGGCACCCTATTCCACACCTTGATATGTTGGATAAACTACATGGTTCTTGCATCTTAACAAAGATAGATTTGAAAAGCGATTACCACTAAATCCGAATGAAAGAAAGAAACGAGTGGAAGACAACATTCAAAATGAAGTTCGGACTCTACGAATGGCTCGTCATGCCCTTTGGTCTTACCAATGTACCGAGTACATTCATACGGTTAATGAACCATGTTCTGAAAGAGTTCATAGGTAAGTATGTTGTTGTTTATTTTGATGATAATTTTATTTACTCACCTTCTCTTGAATCTCATGTCAGGCACGTTCGTTCCATTCTCGAAGTTCTCTTAAAAAAACATTTATTTGCTAACCTGAACAAGTGTGTGTTTTGTAGTGACAAGCTTATCTTTTTAGGTTTTATCATAAGTGCACAGGGTATTCATGTAGATGAAGAAAAGGTGAAAGCAATCCAAGAATGGCCCACACTATCTTCTATCACTGAAGTACAATCCTTCCACGGCTTGGCAAGTTTTTATCGATGATTCATTAAAGACTTCTCCACCATTTTCGTACCTCTCACTGAGATAATCAAGAAATCTGTTGAATTCAAATGGGGACCTCAACAACAACAAACCTTCAATCTTCTAAAAGGTAAGTTATTTTTTACTCTCATTCTTCGTCTTCCCGATTTTTCTAACACTTTCGAGCTAGAATGTGATGCATCAGGCATATACATAGGCACAATACTTATGCAGGAGAAACAACCTATCGCTTACTTTAGTGAAAAGTTGAAAGGAGAACAACTCAACTACTCTATCTATGAAAAGGAACTCCTAGCACTTGTTCGTGCACTTGAATTATGAGAACATTATCTTCTTCCTAAAGAGTTTGTCATACAAACGGATCACGAATCACTAAAGTGATTAAACAGTCAAGGTAAGTTAAACAAACGACATGCTCGATGGGTTGAATTCATAGAATCTTTCCCTTATGTGATTCATTATAAATGAGGGAAAGATAACATAGTAGCCGATGCATTATCCTTAAGGTACACACTTATTACTCAAATGCATCTACTATTATGAGATTTGAACATATTAAAGAACTTTACTCTTCTAACTCGTACTTTTATGATATTCACAAACATTGTTCAAAAGGTGTTTTTAACAAGTTTTATCTTGTAGATGAGTTTCTTTTTAGATTGAACAGGTTGTGAATTCTGCAAGGTTCTTTGCGAGAATTCTTAGTTCATGAGGCACAGGGAGGAGGATTAATGGGACACTTCGGTGTTAACAAAACTCTTTTTTAAACTTCAGCGATCTTTTCGTAGGCATTTATCCCCGATCCAATTGGGGATTGAATTGATTATAGAAACGTGAGTTTAATTAGTCGATTTATTAGTGAACAAGGAGAAATATTATCTAGGCGAGTAGATAGATTAACTTTGAAACAACAAGGATTAATTATTATTGCTATAAAACAAGCTCGTATTTATCTTCGTTACTCTTTCGTAATAATGAGAAACAATTTGAAAGAAGTGAGTCAACCTCTAGAAATAAATAATTAAAACCTGAGTTGGATTTGTAAAAGAAAAAAGAAAATTGAAGCTATATTTGTATTTTATATGTATTTTATAATAGTTAGAATCTTTATATATGTTGGCTAAAATTATATTTCAGGATCGGTAAAGTGATACAAAGAATCAATGAAATAATTTCTTCAAAAACTAAAGGTAAAACTCAGAAGTAATTACTAGTTTTCAATGGAGATCTACACAAAGGGCATTCCTGTTTCCTCTTAATCCACATGATGATGCAACAGTGATGGAACTTATGGTTCCTGACTATATTTCAGAAGTAATTTCTTCGTTGTCCATTTTCACACCTTCACTTCCGGCCAAAGCGGGGTCGATGGTTCCTGACAAGATTTTAGCCAGTTCGGTCGCCACCTCGTACTTGACTTCCATTAACGTAGTTTCTAAGTCTCGGTTGGTCAAACAAGCCCTCGACTTGGCCGGCCTCTTTTTCAGGTAGTCACACTGCATGAACTCTGCTCGTCCGGGGTCCAACATACATGAAGATGCCGGCGGTGGCGTTCTTGGATAGTCAGAATCATCATTGGAAGTTGAGAATTGTTCGGAGTTGCTTAACCTGTTCAGGTCTTCGGCTTCCATGGTTGCTATTTGTTTGACGATACTCATGGCGGCGATGATGAATTAAAAATCGATGCGTAAATAGAATAGTCATCGAAGAAGAAATAAAGATAAACTGGACGGCTATAGAAACAAGAAGCAAGTAGTACTTTCTAGGGGTTGGCATTTGTGCTTGGCAAGAATTACAAACCGACACTGCCAATTTTAATGTGTGTACGTATTTAACAAGAACGCCTTCATTTTTGAAACCTGTATCTCTCATTTAGCTACATGAAAAGTTTTTTTTATATATAGAAGTGGATGCTGCCATTTTTTTCACTAAAAAGACACTCACCAGCAATCAATCAAATATTCATTAGCATCACAAGAACAAACATTAACCATCAAATTCAAGCACATTTTGTCTTTCTTTCATTTTTATTTCATAAAATATTTTCCCTAACCCTAACCTAGAGTGAGGGAGAAGAAACAAACTGTCTGGGTAAGCTAAAGAGATCTTTCTCTTCAAAGGGTGAAGTCCACTCATGTGATCCCACCGCTGAACTTTCTGTAGGGGTCACTCCACCATCCAAGAACCCCGCAATGGATATACCATTCCCATTAGAAGGCGTCAATATCATTGCTGGTTTAGCGTTTAATCCATTTGTTTTAGGGTAATAAATGCGAGAGCTATTCGTCAAAGATGTTGGTCCCGGCCAAATTCCAGCAAAACTTGGAGAAGACGACCCCCTGTCCAAGCTCCAATCAATATTGGTATAGTCCAACTGTGGCATTGAACTACCACTGGTCCAGTCAACCCGAGAAGAGGCTCCTGGCGTAGTAGTAGAATTCAAACCGGTAAAAAGTCCAAGTGAGGATGCAGGCGAAAGCATGGGTGATGAAGGCGAAAGCATCGGTGATGCACCTGTTCTACTACTCCACAAACCATTTCCTTGGTTTGTTCGTGGAGATTCTCCAGGACCACTGCCGAATGTGAACTGTTGCTGCTGAGGATGGTAAAGCTGGTGATGAATCTGATTTGACGTTAATCCACTGGAACTGAGGCTTCTAGCACTCGGAGTATGGGCATAAAGCAATTAGATTTTGGTATTTCAACACTACTGGTAGGATACATAAAGGAGGTTGTTCCAGGAGGAGTCGAGCTTATACTTGTAGCTGGCACCTGGTTTGGATTTAAAGATTGAGGTCGCTGCATCATTATAACTGGCTCCCTAATTGAAGGCTGAAAGTTCTTAAAATCATTTCCCACAGCCGCATAACGGCCTTCTGTCTTTGCTGGTGGGGGTGAGGCCTGCAAATGTGAAGCCAAGGAATAAGAAACAGAAGGATTTGATCCAGAACTTGGCCACCTCTTGTCAGCTGGAACTGCACTTTGTTGGGGTTTTGCCCATTCTATTTTTGGTAGTATTCTCTTCAAAGGCTGAAAACTTTTACTCGTCGATTCTGAAGAACCTCCCCCTGTAACTGCTGCTTTTGCATAGTTAAAATCTTTCTCATCTCTTTGTTGTGTTGCAGTTGGGATTGGCTTTGGCTGTGGCCTTACAGATAGGTTTTGGCTAGCTGCCATCGATGCTTTATTGGTACTCAGGGGATCACCACTTTCTTCTGTCTTTGGTGCAGGCGGATTTAGCTTCAGAGTACTTAAGGCTTCCGCTGCACTGTCTAGATCACCTTCAGCAGAAACAATCGCTCTTTCAACCTCCTGCTTTGAACACTTGTATCTGATTTCCATATCAGCAATCTGTGCAAGCTCGTTCGATATGTCAATTTTCAAGTTCCCATCACTAATAGTTGATTCTTTATGCTTCACTGCTTCTTCACCTCCTTCAAAAAGCCATGCCACAGATTCCTCCACCTTGCCTTCATTCAATATAAGAGCCATTGTTGCTCGTTCATGTGGAAATCCCATAGCTACAAGCTGCTGAGCAAGAGCTTCAAGCTTTCTCGACATGAGATAGCCACTGCATCGCTCATGCAACTCCTGAGCTCGCTTCTCCTTCTGACGCAGATGTTTCCTCTCATTCTTTTGACGAATTTTCTCCCGTTTATCATTGTCAGCTCCTGGTATTTCTTGCTTGACGGGAGGATTAAATGATTTCTCTTTGTGATCTTCTGATTCACTGGACAAGCTATCATTATTGGAAACAGAATCATACTCAACCCCAGCTCCAAGTGAGCCTCTCAAATGCTCATCTGTCTCATCTATGTTTTTGAAACGACCATTTTTTTGAAGAGGTGAAGCAGAGGACGGCAGTGCTGTTTCAATGGTATGGAATGTTCCCGAAAGAGGATTATATGCACTAGCTGGAACACCACTACCTGCATTAGCAGTTCCTGAAGCTTTTGAAGGAGTCTTCTGAGATTCATTGCCAGCTTTTTTATCCTTAGACTTGGACTTGGAAGCAGGAGACATTGTTGTGGCCAATTATAGTCCTGATATGTTTCGACAACAATATACTAAATCAATCAGGTTTTAAGCAGCAAAAATCAATTGAAGGAATAAATGAAAAAGTCACTTCTAGGCAAAAGCTCATCAAACACAAACACTGATGGGGTTTTTTTGAAAGGTAAACAATTTTATTAATATCAAAGAAAAACATGCATTGTTAGGGGCCTCATTAAAAAACCTCCCTAATCCTATCTGGGGGAAAAAGAGTACACCCTAGACAATGACAAAACAGCAACACATGGCCTCCTTATTAAAATTGGCCCCAGAATACTCAGAACTATTACCCACCTCTACTTAGAACCAGATAGAAGGCGACAACCAGAATAACAGGGCAACCTCATTTCGAAAACCGCTGAACAATAACATTGATGATTTTAAAATAAATTATAAAAATGTGATGGAATCAAAAAGCTACAAACCAAACACTAGACAAAAACATGCAATGTTGTTCCTGAACCTAATTGAAGAAGCATATCAAAACTAAACCTAAAAATTATACCCCAAGAAAAAATGTTCCCAAAATGATATATACCAGCAACAAAGCAATGAAATTTAGGCTCTATTTTGGATGGTAATTTTGCTTATTGTCTTCCATTTTTCACCATTTCTCACTAGTTTTCGGTATATATATAATGCTTGATTGGTCAGTTGGTCCGGCAAATTTAATTTTAAAATATCAAATAATTTATTTCAATATTAAGTAATAAATAATAACTATAGTAAATAATTGATATATAAATGTGTCTGACTTAATGGTATAGATTTTAATATAAAATAAAGTAGTTCAAATCTCAACACTTGCAAAAAAAGAAAAAAAGATAAATAACCTAAAGCAAGTTGAACTTTTTTTACCAGTTCAGTAAATCTCTGGTTCAGTGTACCATACTGGACCAAACAGTCTTCCAATTCTAAGTTGAACCCTTGCGACTTGCCGGTCCGGTCAGATTTTTCAACCATGAAGCACACCAGATTAACATACATCAAACTACCAAAACAATCTTCTGAAGAAGGATTTGCCCCACAGGATTGAAAAATAATTATATCTTTATAATCCATCAAAGAAAGACAAAATGGAAATAAATTGCAAATATCTTTCAGAAGCCCTTCCAAACATTGTTTTCCTTACAGATATGTTTTGATGGTAGCTCCAACTCTCTAACCTATTCAAAGATCTTATTTCTCTCATCATACATCAAAGGTTCAGCTACAACCAAGAACTTACAACTCATACATAAATGTGCTTACGAGAAGGTTCTTTATCCTTGGGTTTGACTTAGGAATTTTGAAATTCGTTGGTTTGGCATGATACAAAAGATAAAATTAACTGGTTCTCAAGCTCCTTTCACTACACTTAAAAATACAGTTGGTGCCTAACTCTGTCACCTCAGACCAACACAATTATTCAAAAATATCAAATAAATGAAACCATTTATTGATCTGATCTAAGAAGCTGATGGCTTCATTTTTTAACCATGATGCATTTGCCCACTCTTGAAAATTACAGATCTAGCTCACTGCTCACCAAATTCAATATTACTTTGTTGGGTTTGGGCATGTAATAGAATGTAGAGTACTTGCAATTAATATTCAAGAGACATGAAAACAAAACTGTGGCTGGGATCCTGCTTCCTTAGAGGCACTTTTTCTACCTCACCTGTATTTTATATTTTACCAATGCAAACAAATTATCCCCAATCATATTCAAAATAATCCTGACTATGTGTTAGAATGCTAACTTAATCTTAACACGTAAAAGACTGCTTCTTCTCTTGGTTTTCAAAACACAGTTTCCCGTGTTTCTCACTTTTGCAGTTCCTTAAAGCAGATAATAGAACTGCTGCTCCATGAATCACTTTGTATCGTGAAGTCTTCCTAAAGACAACTGTTGTCTCTCTAATCTAAAAAGGGAGAGACTGTATTACTTTGCCAAGAAGTCAAAATTCATGCAATCAAGAAGGAATTGAAACATAAGATAAGCTGCATACTAACACCACACGTTTTCTGAGTTCAGATCGCAATGGAACCTATTCCCCCCGAACCAAATCCAAAGGCAAAGAGACTAAAACAGACGAATCATGTTAATCTAACTAATCCATCAATCGGGTCACAAAACGATAACATTTAGGGTTTCATTTTCCTAAATCGATAATGCATGCATTCAGATATCATATTCCAACTAAGTATTCCATTTCCCCTACTTCTAAGAAGAAGACTCCAACAAGACGATTCGATCGGAAATTACCCATACAAACACGATTCTTCCGATAAAACGACTGCAGATTCAATAGAAATTCCTAAAAGAGAGAAGGGTTCACCCTCATGATCTATCAAACAAGCTTTCCTGTAGAAAATAAACAATGACTTCCAAAAATAAATAAATAAATCAAAGAGGGTATTATAATAATCGTAGTACCTGGATTGAATGGAAGGGTTGGGGATGGATCGAACGATAGAGATTGAAGGGCTTATGGTTGAGACTTTGAGAGAGTTGGATGCGACGAGACAAAAGGGAGAAGAGAGAGAAAGATAGGTTTTTCGAGGCTGAAACTAAACCGACGGGATTAGGGTTTTGTTTTTAATTTCCTTTTCTTTTTCTTTGGGTAAACTACATTCTCAGTCAATCAATTATGATCACGTATTTTGTTTTGATCACTAAACTATTTTTTTCTGTGAATTCAGTCATTAGTGTTTTTCTTTTTCTATTTTTATAATTAACCGTTAAGTTTTAAATGAAATAATGATGTTCTCCAGTATAATACAATTTTAATCTTTAAAAATTATATAATTTATTAATGTAGTTCTCATTTGCAGAGTTTAAATGGTTTTCTAAAATTCTTGTAGTTTAATCCTCTCGATGTTATTTGTTGAAAATAGTCATTTTCAGCAAAATTTAACGGTAATTGATTAAAATAGAATGAACAAATTTGTAAAAAAATAGTTTGATGACTAAAATAAAAAGATGTAATAATTGGTGACAATGATGTACTTTACCTATTTCCTTTTACAAGAGAAAATCAAAATAAATAACTCAACAAATAGGGAGAATATTCAATTGTCTATAAGTACACTCTTCTCCCCCTCTTTTTCTTACTTTTTTTTATTAAGAATAATTTTCTATTATTACTATCAATTTTACTATTACATTATTTTCATTTATCAAATCTATCGTTCCATTACCATAATATCTATATCTATATTGTTATTAACTCTGTCATTAAGTGCGAGTAATTTGGTTAAATTATATCCTCAAAAAAATAATTTGGTTAAATTAATGTTATTAGAAGTGAGTAAAATTAAGTAGAAATTGATTAAATGGATTGAACCGGTCTAATATATCTTTTTATTTAATTGAATTTTTACAAAAATGATTAAAATTAACTGTATCTATTTAATTTCAATTTCTGAAATTCAAAACCGTTTTAATTGATTAAATCAGCTTTGATTTATTTATTTTGATTACAAATAAAGATGTAATTTATCCTCAAAGTGGATAAGTGTTTACCAGAATTTGTTTTTATTCGTTATTTATGTTATTGATTATGTCCAAGTTAAGATTTTATTTGTGTCAATTTATTTTATATTACTAATATATAAGTTCGTCTTTAAAACCATTTTTTATTTTATATTATTAACATATAAGTTCATCATTAAAAAATATTTTTAGATCCATTATCGGTAAGAATATATACTCACATTCATCACAGAAGAGCCTTATAATATTGTCACGGGCTAGAAACTTGGGTCCGAGACATTGGTGTAAGCGTCCGACCAAGAGGTTCAATATGGAGTATCGGGCTTACCGTGACCACCAGACTTAGCCATTCTTGGAGAATGCTTAACAAGACCGTGAAGGATCTATTCCGAGGCGTCCGAGAGGAGCGACGAGGGCGATGGGGGCAGTGTTGTCGAGGCTCGTGGATTCAAACCGAGACATGTGTGAAAATATCTGTAAGAGAATAATACAGACTATTGGGCTTGCCCATAACCATCAGATCTGGCCCGTTCCTTGGAGGATTCTAGAAGGATAATGTTAGGTGGGATTTCCTTGATTTAAGGGATTGAGTTAGGTGGGAATCAATCCTAGCCCTTCATGTAAAACGATCTTAGCCATCGATTGAGAGGGAGCTCCCCTATAAATAGAGAGCTCTCCTCCTCATTTGTAATCACCCAATTCCATTCTTCTCTTTATGAGAGAGTAATAAAGCTCTGAGGCATTTGCTCTGTTCTTTCTGAGTTCTTTGTTCTTGTTGCCTATCTTGGTGACCAGGAGTAGTTACCTTCGTGTTAGCACTTCCACACGATAGTCCGACATTGTGGCTCGGAGTAGCCACGTTGGTGTTAAAGCTTCCGCAATCTGAAGCCTTAAGGGCTTAGTTCCAACCTTTGTGAGTTTGCACACTCACTTAGCTTGGGTAAGGCTTACTTAGTCGCCGAGAAGATCGATGAGCGTCTAAAGCGTCTAAGGCCGCACGACCCGTCATACCTTGACTCTGATATTCCGACGGTTTAGGGCGTCGAAGTTCTGGGGGCGTGACAAGTGGTATCAGAGAGAGTAGTTGTGGGCAAGCAACGATCGTTTCAACCGTGTTTTGGTGGAAGGTGCGAAACCGGGTAAGTTTGTTTTACTTACTTTCAATCAATTTGCTTGATAATTGAAATGGGGCACAAGAGAAAAGGAGTTCCGCACGCAAGAGGAGAGTCCGGTGGACTCAAGAGCGTCGTCGGTGTCCAAGCATTAGGATGCCGTGATGAGTTCGCAAGGAATGCTCGAGGCAACGAAAGTACACCAAGGGGAGCCTGTTCTCGAGGTAGAGAGGCTCAAGGGTGACGCCGAAGGCATGTCCGAGTGAGACGAAACGTTCTCTCGTGAAGACGATGAGAGTCTTGATGAGGAACAAGGAGATGAACTCATAATGTAAGAGAAATGGGCTTACTTGATGGATGGTTTTGGCGACCACGCAAGGAGGCTCTTTCAGATGGAACAAGTTTCAACTTCGTGGGAACAAAGGGTCGAGAGACTTGAGAAAGCCGAGGATGAGGCCAAGCAGACCCAGGGTGTTGTGGAGTCCCGCCTTGATCGATTAGAGTCCATGGAGGGCAGATTCAAGGTCGAGACGCAACGAGTTCTAGATGAGTTGGAGACGGTTCGAGGGAGAAATGCCCAAGAAGCCGAGGTAGCGGCTTTGAGAAACGAGGTGGATGAGCTCAAGAGGGAGCTGCTCATTTGCAAGGAAGCAATGAGTGAATGGGGTGCGCTCAAGACCTTCTTGGAAGGACTCAGACCAGGAGAGATGCTCGGGGAAGAGCAAGGAGATGCCCAGAGACTTTCGGAAGCCATAGTTGTAGCCGGAACGCCGACTGAGCTTGCAGATGTCAAGCCAAGGAGTGATGTGTCGTCCAGACTCATGCCCAGAGATAGTGGCAAGAATGGGGGAGACAGGGAAAAGGTGCAGCAGGGAGATGGTAGAGAAAGCTCTTCGAGTGGCCAAGTTGAGCCATCGACTGTTCGCTGCCAAAGAAAGCCATCCGGAAAGTATGACAAAGCCAAGTCCGGGGAAAAGAAGAAGGCGAGCAAGGAAAAACAGAAGTGCTACTTCTGTGATGGTCCTCACTTGATAAGAGGATGTCCCGAGAAGCGTCGCCTTACAACCATCCTGAAGATGATGGGAGAAGGGGAAGTAGCAGAAATTGACGGAGGCAGAAGAGTTAAAACTGCCAAGTCAAGGGAAAGACTTGGTCCGATTGATGGGATCAATGTGGCCAAGCATGGTTCAAGACGAGGCAAGGTTATCGATGATGAGGTGGACGAACCCAGAGTAAAGCTCAATGCGATTGCGGGTGTTCAAGCAATCAAGTCAAGAGCAAGACTTGATGAGGCTACATGTTCCAAAGTAGCCAAATCGAGGGACAAGCGTGGTGCAACTACAAGCTGTCAAGTAGTTCGCCCAGGATCGAGACGTGCCGAGACTGCACGTGTCAAAGCAGTAGAGCACAGGAAAGGACCCGGTGCGATAGCAAGTGATAATATCGTCAAACCGAGGGTGCAAAGTGAGCAGGTTCGCTCACAATATGCCAATATGGAGGCGTGGTCCAAGTTGAGGCGCCTTAGGCATAAGGGGACTCCGAAGGAGTATGTGAGCCGATTCAGAAGACTCATGCTCAAAGTCCCAAGTTTGACTGAAGAAGAGGGATTCTTCACCTTCATGTTCGGATTGAAGTCGTGGGCAAAGAGGGCGTTGGAGCGAAGGAAAGTCAAGGAACTGTCTGAAGCCTTGACAACTGCGGAGTCCATTAAAGAGTTTGGAGTCAAGAAGAACAAGACTTCCAAATCCAAACCAAAAGCCGAGGGTAACGGTAAGAGATTCCGAGATGAAGGCAAGTCAAAAGATGAGGAAGGTTGTTCCTCGACTGGCAGAGCAAGTCCACTTAATGATGAACCAGATGGGGAATCTGGGGATGATGTGTGCACTAGTTCAAGTGACACATACGCTAAGCCGAGGGTAAGATTCGAGCAAGCGAAGGGGCGCAAACTTGAGGTGCCAACAGTGTTGCAAGATTACCTGAGGGGAGCCGAGTCATCCAAGGTGATGGATGAGCGCAGGATCGAGTTGTCCGGAGAAGAGGACACACCAAGGATCGAAGGGGCACTGAGACTTGGCTCAATACGGTTCATCTCTGCCAAGGCAAGTAGAAGCCAAGTGCAGGAGACACCACCCATTTCAAAGGTGGGAAGCGAGCTCCAACCTTCGTGTTAGAAGGGAGGATGCGAGGAAGGGCATCGGACTTTACCGTGAGAAAGTGTCGATGCATGATGACGTAAAGAACTCCAATGACAAAGGTTCAATGTGGGGAGTGTCAAACTTCATTGAGTAAGAAGGGATGACGCAAAAAATTTGAGTAAATGCCAACAAATCAGAGGGGAATGTATATCTCAACACGATTCTAGTGTTTTTGTGAGTTTGATTTGCCATTTTAAGAGAGTGTAGGTCGGGCAAGACCTAACTCTTAACGCGGATGAAACAAAGTTTGGATGGGATCCAAGACTTTTCCACAAGGGACAAGGAGGTCCAAACCGAGGTAAATCAAGACTTGTAGGAAAGAATTCCTACGGAAGAGATGCACTTGTGGGCGTATTAGCCCATTTCATCACTTGGCGGCAAGGGCCGAAGCGAGCACAACCATCATGGGAGGCCGAGTCCTTATGAGGGGACATGAGCAAGTGGAGACGTCAAAAGGCAACCAAGTTGATGTGAACTATGGCGCGAAAGATCTGGAAGTTACATGAGGCAAGAGCCAAGGCAAGCAGTTCGTATGGGAGGGCCGCGACAAGCCAAGGCACCGAAGAGTATCCAAGGTGGTGTTGCCCAGGATCGTCGAGTGCAACAACGAGGGCGTCGCTAGGTTCGGTGGGGGAGAATGTCACGGGCTAGAAACTTGGGTCTGAGACATTGGTGTAAGCGTCCGACCAAGAGGTTCAATATGGAGTATCGGGCTTACCGTGACCACCAGACTTAGCCATTCTTGGAGAATGCTTAACAATACCGTGAAGGATCTATTCTGAGGCGTCCGAGAGGAGCGACAAGGGAGATGAGGGCAGTGTTGTCGAGGCTCGTGGATTCAAATCGAGACATGTGTGCAGATATCTGTAAAAGAATAATACAGACTATTGGGCTTGCCCAGAACCATCAGATCTGGCCCGTTCCTTGGAGGATTCTAGAAGGATAATGTTAGGTGGGATTTCCTTGATTTAAGGGATTGAGTTAGGTGAGAATCAATCCTAGCCCTTCATGTAAAACGATCTTAGCCATCGATTGAAAGGGAGCTCCCCTATAAATAGAGAGCTCTCATCCTCATTTGTAATCACCCAATTCCATTCTTCTCTTTGTGAGAGAGTAATAAAGCTCTGAGGCATTTGCTCTATTCTTTCTGAGTTCTTTAGTTCTTTGTTCTTGTTGCCTATCTTGGTGACCAGGAGTAGCCACCTTCGTGTTAGCACTTCCACACGATAGTCCGACATTGTGGCTCGGAGTAGCCACGTTGGTGTTAAAGCTTCCGTAATCCGAAGCCTTGAGAGCTTAGTTCCAACCTTTGTGAGTTTGCACACTCACTTAGCTTGGGTAAGGCTTACTTAGTCGCCGAGAATACCGAGAAGCGTCTAAAGCGTCTAAGGCCGCACGACCCGTCAGACCTTGACTTTGATATTCTGACGGTTTAAGGCGTCGAAGTTCTAGGGGCGTGACAATATCATCTGGAGGTCCTGAAAACACATGCGGTCTGTCGAGTAGACACACTCCACGCCATTCTAGCCAAAACATGCGCAACTTTATTCCCAGCACAGAGAACATGCATCACTGTACTTGACCAGTCCCGTTGCAACAACGTAATGCAATATTGAGAAAAGCAACCAGGTGAACAACCTCAAGGATAAAACTGACTTTGACCTATTGAATATATATTTAAATTAATATGAACGAGTTTGGACATGGGAAGTCAAACTCCGGTCAACAACATCAGCCACTGTGGTTTCCGAGCACCAGCTGGGAACTGATGCGGACTGCATTCGTGGAACAGTATAGGCAGATGCCGCTCAGACAGAGAAGATGACATGGTAAACCCAACACACCATGGAAAAGCAACACACATGATATCAACACATGAAAATGTCAAATTTTATATAAAAACTATATAATAGAGAGTCATGGAGATGGAAGGATGTAATTTTCCACAATGGAGATTTAACTTCAGACAATGGAAATCATACTAATTTTAATTCATCTTTAGAAACAACTACATAAGAGAATAGGGTAAAGGGGAGACAGTTAAACTATGTACTTTGCGTCAATTTACATTATTCATTATTCTAGGTAAGCTTAACACCACTTGCTTCAGTACACTTTAAATCCAAATGAACTTTAAGACATTGTTACATTTATTTAAAGGCAAAACCCGCCTTCGGTATCCTGATATCCTCCCCAGTCCCCCCTTACAAATCTCTGGTCACCTGAATAAAAACAAAGAAAATAGTGTTACTAATAAAACTTACCAACAACTAGGTCTATAGTAGGATGACTTGAAAATAGCATATCGGATTTCGACTATGGAATGGAAACAGAGACGAAAAAATAAAACAGAAAAAGCAACATAATTATTGATAGTGAAATCCAAAACAAATTCCCCAATGTTTCAAATCTTGTGGTGATGGGATTTGGGGATTCAAATGAAGAAGATATACTCGTTCATCCAGAGACTTGGTCCCTAAGGTTAGACATTAAATTGTCAACCATTATCTGAATAGAACCAGATTGTAGTAGAATTAAATTGGTATATAACAAAATTATTTGTTTCCTTCCCGAATAGTAACACCAGCAAAAGCATGTATAATAGACAGGACTATGGAAAGAATATTCAACTTTACATATCCCCAAAGCTACATAACAAAGCAACCCAAATAAGTAATTACACAAGCCATTACTATGCTTCAATTTCACTAACTTCTTTTAACATATCTCTTCGGCTTTGCTTGATAAAGTGGAGAGAAAATTGGAAGGATGGAAAATTAAAAGGAATAGTAAAGTGGAGAGACCGAAAATCTATTTTTCCTTATATTAGTGTGCTTGGTAGGAAAGATGGAAAATGTATCGATTCTTTGTTTCGTAGGATCCAGAAATGAGAGTAACGAACATCAAACTTCGAAAAATATATAGTTTTGAACTAATTTACATTTCTCTAGCATTCTATCCTCTTCTATTTCCAAATTGGAATGAATTGGTTTTACACATGAGATGGAAAACGATCATCTCTCTCATTTTCTTTCCTCTCACATTTGCTTCCTACCAAATACACTCAATTTATTCTTTCCACTTTTTCATCCCGTTCATTCCTCCACTTTTCCAATCAATTAAGCAAAGTCTTAAGGTTTTAGTTATTGCAGTCTATAACCAAGCAAAGGTTGCCCATTCCTTTCATTCATCCAAAAATGTGAACTCTATTTGTTGGTCATCATTGCCTTCAAGATCACATACATAAACCAACCTTTTCGACTAAACACTATTATAATCCTCACGAAACACTATTTATCCTCTTGGTGTTATCAGTTCATTCTTTTGCTCCTTGCATACTTCATGCACTATCCCAACTCCCTAAGCCTCGAATGGATTTTGTGTAAAACGAGATTAAACATAGAAAAAACTATCCTAAAAGTTCAATCTCCTTTCCTTAGTTTATACTCCGAGAAACTTAACTGGCGTATAAGAAAGCATATCATGCAACAACATGCACATGCACAAGCAACAACACATTGAAAGGAAGAAAAAATAACTGTTGTTAAATCAACTGAATCCCAACAAAAACTTGGCAAATTAAGTCTCAATAAACTGTTCAAAATTCAATTTTGATGAACCATAGATAACCCAAATAATCAATTTGTGTTCCAACTCTATAATATTTGGGTGTGGGTTGAGTTAACATTCAGACTTGGTTGAATTACTGAATTAAAATAACAAAATTAAGAATGGGGTTGAGCTTAACCTCAAGCGCAGGCGGTGGCATCGCCAATAAGCTTGAAATCCTGCAATTCCTTGAAATTAATCCATGACTTCTCCCACACCTTGGCTTCATAAACTTTCATCTTGTCACCATCCACCGCCTCCAATGTTATGTAATTCATAGTACCGGAAACCACCTGTTGCTTCAAGTTCGTCACTTTCTTAAACTGCAGCATTGAATTCTATAATTCCAAACCCCCCCCCCACACACACACACAAAAACAACCCCCGTTAATTGACAATAATTTGTGAAGAATCCACGCGTAAATTGAAATAAAAGGAAAAAAAATAAAAATACCCCCTTCTTGTTGTGTTCATCGACAGCAAAACGAGCGAGGTTTTCAGCCTCCAGGCTATTGGCGCTTCCTCCAACCTCGCTAATTCCACCCACAGTATCCATCTCTCTCCTCTTGTTTTTTTTTCCCTTGTAATGAGACGGTAAATAATGAAATTCGGATACCCAACCACTTGAGCTTTTATAGAACAAGAGTCGGAGAAATGACAAAATGAGATATTTTTAGGATTTATCGAAACACACACGCAGTGCGGAATTAGGATGAGTATTCGATTGAGGTTAGAATTAAAAAATTAAGTTGATTGAATTAATGAGTTTTATTTTATTGTATTTAATTTAATTGTTATTATTTATATTATTATGATATATATAATTCTAATTTAAATAATTTTTTAATTATATAAGATATACATAAATATTTATTTATGCTTTTCCTAGTATAAATGAAATCTGTTATATTATTTAATAAATTAAATTTCATTTACAATTATAAAATATAATTATAATATTAGTTTTTAAAATGATTTTGAGGATAAAACATGAAAGTTAAAAGGGTCGTGAAATTAATGATTCAGAAAAAAAAAAATCTAGGATAAAAGGAGTTGTTCAGTGCGCAGTGGCCCATTGTATTTCCCAATAGTCTACTTAGCTTCAGGCTTAAGAAAATGAGCTGTCTAAACACGGATCCAGAGGATTTTAAATTGGTGACGTCATATTCGTATATCTGTACGTGGATAATATGATTTTTACCGGAAACAATTTATAAAAATTTAATGATTTTATGAAAGCTATGATTAGAGGATTTAAAATGATAGATGTAACGAGATGTCACATTTTCTTAAAGTTGAGATGAGACAAATATAAGATGAAATATCTATATTTCGAAAAAAAAAGTATTTATAACAAATCTAAATAAATTCTCTAAAAAAGTTTTTATAACAAACCTAATTAAATTCAAAATGAAAGATTGTAAACAATAAATAAATTCGACAAAAATTATGCGTAAAAGTAAGTATTGATTCAAAAGGAGAGTCGATAAACTCGACGTTGTTTAAGAGCGTTGTCGGAAACTCAAGATATTTGACTATCATACGATCAAACATAACATACGTTGTGATATTGATGATGAACAATCTTTTGAAGAAGGCAAAACAAGATAATTATATTGCAACGAAGATAATTTTGAGGCGTGTTAATGGTAAAACTAATCATGCTTTATTCTATACACACTCAAAGATTTCAAAATTAGTGACTCTCCATATGAGAAACAAAATGCATAATCATTATGATGTGCACTTAATAAACAATTTAGTTAAAGAATATTTTGGATAAATTAAATTTTACATAAGAAGGATTGTAGTTTATGTTAATAATAAATTCAGTATATCTCTTATAAAGAATTCAATATCCCATAATCAAAACAAGCATATGATAATGTCACTTTATTCGGGAATAAGTGTTGGGTGAAATCATGATAATTTGATATAAATATAACATGAAAAATGTAAATATATCGACATTTCATAAAAGCTTTAGAAAAAATTTAAAAACTTATCATGCTAAAATCAAATAAAAAATTCATCACATGGTTATCAGTGCTTATATATATGGGTTATATATGTTAATTGTATTTATTGTTAAAAATGTATACTTATAATTTATATTTAAATAATATCCATGAATTATAAATTTATATGGTATATACATAAAGATAATAATATTTATGAATTATAAATGTATATAGTACAGACACTTGATGTTTCTACCATGCAGTCTATTCTTATCCAAACTAGGACTCATACATCTCCATTAATGCCCCCAAGAGACATCAACTCAGAAAAAACCATCGATTTCGTCGTAAACAAAAGAAATGGAATTAAGGGTTTAGTCGATACATGCATTGAAACCGTTCCCGAGCTTTATACTCTACCACTCGAGGAAAGATTGGACCCAAACAACATCTTAACTCAGCACTCCATTCCGGTAATCGATGTTTCTAATTGGGACGACCCGAAGGTAACCGAGTCGATCTGCAAAGCTGCCCAAGAGTGGGGTTTCTTTCAGATAATTAACCATGGAGTTCCCTTGGAAGTTCTCGACGCCGTCAAAGAAGCCGCTCCTAGGTTCTTTGGGTTACCTAATGAAGAGAGAAACAAGTACTGGGCTGGGAATTCGCCGATTGAAACAGTGGCTTTGAAAACGAGCTTTGTTCCGCAAGGCAGTTACTGTTTTTGAGTGGAAAGATTTCCTCACCTTCCGTTTTAGTCCTCGGGATCTGGAATCATTTCCCTTATGCCCCCTGTTTGCAGGTAATTTGTGTTCATTTGAATTACGATTGCGTTATGTAATTTGTGTTCGATATATAGATTTAAATTTCGATTGCATTATGTTTATTCGATACTATGACGATCATTGAGAGTACGGCGGTTTATAAATTCTTTTAAAAGAGTTGAAAATTTTTAAATAAAGGAACTGATTTTTAAAAAAAAAAATAGAATAGGAGGAATAACAATCCGCTATTGTCGGAATTAGCACCTATCATTCAAGTTGCGGCTACAATTCGTTGTTATTGGTGTTATTCCACTTCACACCGTTATTTTTTGTAATAATGGTTTTAGCCTCTATCCATTAAGTTGAGACTACAATTCGTCGTTATTGGTGTGATTTCACTTTACACCGTTATTTTCTATAATAGTGGTTTCGGACACTATCGTTGTTTAAATCCCTAGTTCGACCCTTTGCTTTAATTGTGTATTTAGAATCTACAACTGTTTAATTCATGCATTGTAATGGTTATTGATATGTTCTTTGATTCTCTTTTGGGGGTAATCATCTTCATCTAGAGTTCGGTTTCTTAGATGTTACATTTCAGCAGCTTCTTAAGACATTTGCGCCATTAAAAAAACGGGGTGCTTGAGAGGATTGGATGGATCTATGCTTATGTACAGGGATGAAGTGCTGAAATATTTGGAGAGTGCAACGCCTGTGATAAGGAAGCTGCTGCAGGTCCTATTGAAGGGACTGAAGGTGAAAGAGATAGACAAAGCTAGAGAATATCCATTAATGGTTTCACCGGTGGTTACCCTAAATTACTATCCGCGTTGCCCGAACCCAGACCTCACAGGAGGAGTATTCCCTCACTCCGATATATCAACAATCACTATTCTCCTTCCTACAAGATGACAATGGCGGCCTTTATGTTCGAGCAACCGATGACAATAGCTGGATTCACGTTCCACCGATCAACGGAGCTCTCGTAATCAACGTGGGAGGCACTCTACAAATAATGAGCAACGACAAGTAGAAGAGCATTGAACATCGGGTGATTGCCAATGGAAGTAAGGACAGTTTCGGTGCCCATTTTTTTCAATCTAGGAGCAGATGTCGTATTTGGTCCTTAGCCGGAAGTGCTAGAAAGTGGGGAACAACTATTGTATAAGGAAGTTGTCTTCTCCGATTACTCCAAGTACTTTTTCAGCAAGAAACATGAAGGAAAGAAAACAACAGACTTTGCCTGGATACGATCAATCCCTCTGTTGCAGTATCTTTTGCTGATGTTTACAATAATTATGGAAACATAAACACGAAATAAAAGCTTAGTGTGAAGTAACGTGCAATTAAGTTCAAGCAACATTCAAAGAGAGAATAAAATGGAGGGCAGTCGTTAACATTGCCTTAACCTTCACTTGTCAAGGATCGCATATTATTAGCACCAGTGGTTTCAGCAAAGCACGTCTAGAGACGGGTCTTTTTCTTGCAATTCTGAGATACAACAGCCTTTACTCATTTCTCTTTTCTAGCCAAAGATTCTCCTTTATACTCGTTTCCCATGGTAACTACAAAACCTGCCCCAACCTTAAAGAACGACAAAATTAATAAAGCTAGTTGACTCTTCACATGTAAGTAAAGTTTACTTGAGAAAGAGAATTACTATGCAATCCTTCAATACAACACGCTCTTGAAGCTGTACATCACGGAACCTTGAATTACGCAGCCATCGCCAATTGTCAATGACTTGCTGGGGAAACGTTAGTATATATAAGCAAGATTGGGTGGTAAATTAGTCGAGTCGAACACGAATATTACTGAACTCGACTCGATTTGACTCGAAATTTTTTAAACTCGAACTCGAAATCATGAATTGAAGCTCAAAAAAAGCTCGAAATAAAACAATATTGAACTTAACTCGGTTGAAGCTCAGACTCAAACTCAAACCTTAAGTACATGAAAATATTCTACTACATTTTTTAAATAAACACACAAATGTTAATATTTTTAATATTTTACTTTTTTAAAATGAATTTTAATATATAATTTTTTTCGAGTTGTTCGCGAGCTTTTCGAGTTGACTATCAACTAATTCGTTTCGGCTCGTTAAGAACTCGAGTCAAGTCCATTCGAGTTGAGTACTTATCAAACATTGACCAAATCAATCTCGAATAATTCACGATATATCTCATATATTATTTACTCATGAGAAAGATATTTGAAGTTTTTAGGAGTACATGAAAATGAGATATATATGTCATTTGATGATTTTAATGATCGAAATTGTCATTGTCAAAAATAATGATTAACAATGATAATATAAGATCGAGGGAGAGAATGACAACACAAAGACAATGAGTAAAATGGTTAGATCAAATTAATAATGTTTTATGTTAAATTTATTGAATTATTTAAAATCATAATTAAATTAGTTGAGTGTGTAAATTTTAGAGATTAAACATAATATTATATAAAATTCAAAACAAAATTCCATTAATTAATAAACGAAAAGTGGCTTGAATGATATGAAAATATAGTGACCTAGTTAACCAAATATCTTAATAAGTGATCAAAATCGAATTGATCATATAATTAAATGACCAATAGATTAATTACCCTACTAAGAATTAGATTTCAGCCCGGTCCAACTTTTTAAGCCACACAACAGTGCCACGTAAACTTCAACGGCTACCAAATTCCAAGAATAAGGCGTTTTATAGCCGTTAGATTCAAGTTCAATCAAACGGCCAGGAATTGGATTTCAAAATATTATACCGTTAAAGAGAAGCGTCCCTTCCTAGTCACTGCTTAAAAGGGAAGTGAGCTACTGGTTAAAGAATTACAAACAGACAACCCATTCGTATTACCAAAAGAAAAGGATCCACTCAAAAATTGACAAAAGCAGCAACGAACAAGATTTTTTAATTTGTTTGTTTGGCAGTGACGAAAAGAATTGGTGTAGGCTGGCGAATAGAAGAGACCCAGCAGAGGAGGAGGCGCGAGGAAGCCGTCTTCTGGTGTTCCTTTCGTACTTGGTGGAGTTTTAAGCCAGGTCGTAGAACAAGAAGAAGAAGGACCAGTGATGGCGTCTAGAGCTATGGTTCCTCAGCATGAAAACAATGGTTGTTCTTTAAAACTTGGATCTTGATTCTTTCTGGGTTTTGCTGTGTCTTTTTTTTTGAATTGCGAGATTTTTGCAATGATCTTGGGATTCTTTTGGTTTGATTTTGATGATAGTTCGTTTTTATTGAATCGGTTCCAGGAAATTGAATCGGTTCCAGGAATGTTCTTTAAAACCCACTACTATTTTTATTATTTTGAATGATCTTATGAGACTTTTATTCTTGTATTTTTTTTATTTCCTTTAATTAAATTAGTTTCTGGGTTATTTAAAGGGGAAGATATATCTAGTAAAATTGAGAAAGAAGGTGTTTGATTATATGTTTCTTACAGATGAAGAATACTTGTACACACAGAGACAGCAATAAGATTGTCTGAGAAACTTATTCATTGTTCTATGCTTCGATATGGTCTACATTCTCGACCTTTGGGTTTTCATTTTCATGCTGGTGACTTATGGGGCTGACAGTTTTATACTTTATCTGCTTGCAGGGGAAGGAAAGCAGATGCATGCAAAAGCAGATGGAAGGAACCGAAGAGTTCTTCAAGACATTGGCAATTTTGTCGATGAACGAGCAGCACAAGGAAAGGTTGTTCCATTAAACACAATTTTTTTCTTTACATGATCTTCTCACTTTTGATTGTAGGTTCTGATACTTGCAAATATTACTACTAAATCTCTAATTTCTCTTGGTTTTACTTGTAGAAACCAATCACTGAAGGAGCTGTGAGAGGACCCCAAAGGAAGGTAGTTGACAAACCAAAACCCGAGGATATGATCGTAATAAGCTCCGACGAAAAACCTGAGAAAAGTGAAGTTGTTAGCAAAAGACAAGGGTCTTCAAGGAAGCAAGTCAAAACCCTCACTTCTATACTCTCTGCTCGAAGCAAGGTAAACAAATACATATAACAAATACATATGCATACATTGTCTAACATAGGTGTTCTATGTATATCAAGGGAAGAATTTGCTTTGTTTTTTGTTTGCTGTCCTTGTGTTGTTTACTGTTTGTGGGTTGAATTGATTTGATTCCAGGCTATTTGTGGACTTATGAATAAGCTTAATATTTCAATTGAGGACATTGATGGAAGGGATGCTGGTAATGACTTGGCTGGCACTGAATATGTGGATGATATCTACAAGTTCTACAAGCTGACGGAAGTAATAATCTCATTTTTTTCTTAATATTTTTACCTGCTGTATATGAAATATGGTGATATCTTAAGTATTTTAATGCAGAATGAGGGTCGAGTACGCGACTATATGGATTTGCAGCCAGATATAAATGCCAAGATGAGATCGATCTTGATTGACTGGTTGATAGAAGTCCATCGCAAATTCGAGCTTATGCCGGAGACACTCTATCTTACTATGAATATCGTTGATCGATTTCTTTCGATGAAGGTTGTACAAAGAAAGGAATTGCAATTGGTAGGCATTAGTGCAATGCTCATAGCATGCAAGTATGAAGAGATTTGGGCACCAGAGGTACGCTTTTTGTGTGTGCATTTGTATAAGGCTTTGCTCTTCTTGTTGATATTGCTGTTTCTCTTACAATTTTGCCTTCTGGATTTCAATTTTTCAGGTCAGTGACTTTGTTTTCGTATCAGACAATGCCTACGCTAGAGAGCAGGTCTTGGTCATGGAGAAAGCAATCTTGAACAAGTTAGAATGGCACCTAACAGTTCCTACACCATATATGTTCCTCGTCCGATTTATCAAAGCCTCTATTCCATCTGATGATAAGGTAAAAGTTTTATAACCTCGTTATTCTTTCAGAATTTGGTTCTTCAAAGGCTCGGACTAGTTAGGTAATAATTTGGTTCAATTTTGGTGATAATGAATGCAGGTGGAGAATTTGGCGTTTTACCTTGCTGAGCTTGGTCTGATGCAATATCCGACTGCGGTTATGTATTGTCCATCTATGTTAGCCGCTTCGGCCGTGTATGCTGCTAGATGCACCCTTGGGAAAAGCCCTCCGTGGAGTGAGACTCTAAAGCACCACACCGGCTACTCGGAAAACCACTTGATGTATGTAGTCTCTCCTCTCTCCGATTTTTTTCCTTTTAGTTTCCAGTTCTGATCAATATGTGACATATTCTGATAATATGTGCTGTAACAGGAATGGTGCAAAACTCTTGGTTAAATTCCACTCAACGGCTGCAGAAAGTAAACTCAAGGCATTATATCGGAAATTCTCGAGTCCAGAGTGCGATGCCGTGGCTCTTCTTGCACCGGCAAAAAGCCTTTTGCCGATACCAATCCATCATGGAGAGTGATTTACCAGATGTTTTTATGACTAGTGGCCGTTATATCTTGATGCAACATTTAATGTTCGTCAGAAAGTGTTGTTTTCACCAATTCTAATGTTTTAACTTCAACCACCATGAAGGACTGCAGCTCCTGCCGGCCGTCAATGGCACATTGATGTGTATATCTATTATTTTCTTCCTTTTAAATTTTATTGTGGAACTTTTCTCTATGGATTTAAGTGTATGTTTGGTTAGATGATACAAAATATAATATCATGAGGTTTGAATAATAAAATTATAATTTTATGTTTTATATTTTATTTTATAAAAGTTTAAAATGATATATAATATTCTTAAAATAATGGAATGATAAAAGAGAAATTGATATTCAAGTAATTTAAATCTAATCTATTTTATAAAAATTCTTTTGGAAATAATTACTTAGTTGTCATATTCTCCACTAAATTCTTTTGGAACCATACTTTGCTCAAGAAAACCTTAAGACCTCCGAAACCTCTATTCTCTACATCTTTCCATCCTCTTTACGTCTTTCTTTATTAGGCTTATATAAAAAACAAATACTTAGGAGGCGTTTGGATGGAGGATTTTAACATTACTTGTGGGAATATTTTTTTCCTACTTGTGATTCTCGTGTTTGGATGAACAATAATCCTAATAGGGGGTAATAAAATATTACCAACAGTAGCTTTTTTTTCAAATATAACCGGGAATCCTAATCCTATGGTGGGCTTAGATATTTTTTGTTTCCCTTCAACTTGGACTAAAATTTCCTTGTCCTAAAAGATTTATTTAAAAAAAAACCCTTACTTTTATTTCAAAAGCTATAGTATATTATCATAACTTTATTTCAAAAATATTCCCAATCGGGAATTTTATTTATTTATTATCATAAATTTTTAAATATTAATTAAGATTAAAAAAATATATGATATATTTACTCTTTTAATCTACACATTTATCTTTTAAATTTTGTAAAAAAATATAAATTTCATGAATTTAAAATTTAATAAAAAAATATATATAAATTGAAAATAATACAATAATATATTTTCTATGAATTTTTATATAAATATTTTCATTTGAATATTTAGAATTCAACTTGTTAAAAAAATATCATAAGGACAATTTAGTAAAATATGCATTCCAGTAATCTTTTATTCCTTTAACCAAACACTGTAATCATACATTCCTGTCAAACAAACCAAACACAATAATGTAACATTCCCAGTAATGTGTAAGGTAATGTAACATTTCGGTAATCTTATTCCCGGAGATAATATTACATTCCATGAACCAAACACACCCTTAAAGTATATTATTTTTTTCATGTATCTAAAATAATTTTTTATCAAAATAAATACCTAAAATTATCTTTTTGGTCAAAATAGGTACTTAATTTTTTTTTAATTAAAATAGATACTTAATGTATTTAATTTTTTTTATCTAAAGTATTATTTAATTAATGTCACATGTCAATTTCTTTTGAACTTTTATGAAAAAGTTTGAATAGTTAAGTATCTATTTTGGCATAAAATATTTTAGATACTTATTTTTATAAAAAAATTAACTTTAAGTATTTATTTTTTAAAAGATACTTTAAATATTTAAATGACAAGTATACCTTATTTGTGATGTAAACCTTTTAATTATCTCTAAGTTTAGTAACAAACAATACATGGTTTGATAGGGGGCGTCTTAATGGCACAGTTAGGTTTTGGCAGGGGACATCTTTACGCGGAGAATCTTGGCAAGTTGCATAATGGATATATAATAATACAAATCTATTGTTTTTTACTTATTTCTATGTTCATTATAAATCCCATTATGCAGCTGACAGCAGCCAACAAAACCAGCAAAAGAAGTTTCAACTGTGAAAAGATGGAAGAGGTTGAGCACAGAATAGTTAAGGTGAACGGCATCAACATGCACGTAGCAGAGAAAGGGTCCAGTCATTCTTTTCCTGCATGGCTTCGTTGAGCTATGGTACTCTTGGCACCACCAGATTGCTGCTTTGTCTTCCAAGGGTTTCCGAGCCATCGCTCCTGACCTGCGGGGCTACGGCGACACGGATGCTCCGGATTCTGTCACCGAGTACACCTGCTTCCATATAGTGGGGGATTTGGTCGATCTTTTAAACAACGTCGCCCCACAAAAGCAGGTGTATGTAGTAGGCCATGACTGGGGAGCTGTCATAGCTTGGTTTTTGTGCTTGTTTAGGCCAGACAAAGTGAAAGCCTTGCTGAACCTGAGTGTGCCATTTTTACCACGTAATCCAGGAATGAAGCCCGTTGATGGGTGGAGAGCTGCTTATGGGAATGATTATAACATCTGTAGATTTCAGGTAAATTTGCCCTTTTTTAATGTCTTTTCAAGCATAATTTGTACATCCCAACTGAGAAATATTACAACAGGAACCTGGAGAAATAGAAGCTGAGTTTGCAGAGATTGGTACAGAGACAGTACTTAAGGAAATGCTGGCATACAGCGTTCCGGGTCCAATAATGTTAGCCAAAGGAAACCTATTCGGACATTCAGCGGATAAGCCAACGGCATTGCCTTCCCTGGTTATCAGATGAAGACTTTAACTACCACGTCACTAAGTTTACCAAAAGCGGCTTCACCGGTGGAATCAACTATTACCGGAACTTCGATCGGTATTTATATTATACATACGTGTATGTGCGTGTGTGTGCTCGCCTCGTGTTTTTATGGTTTAAACTTATGTGTGTGTGCTTGGTTATAATGACAGGAACTGGGAACTCACGGCAGCATGGGATGGTTGTGAGGTAAAAGTAGCCACAAAGTTCCTAGTGGGTGATACGGACCTGGTTTACCATATGCCTGGCCTCAAGGAATACATCCACAATGGCGGATTCAAGAAGGATGTGCCCTTGTTGCAGGAAGTAGGGGTAATGGAAGGAGTCGGGCACTTCATCCACATGGAAAAACCCAACGAGATTAACGACTTCTTCCGACAGTTCGATTGACATTTTCTTTTAAATCCTCCCCTGCTCCATCTATGTTTCAGCGTTTGTCCATAAATTGTCTAGCTCGTGCTTCGATCTCTGGACTTTTAGTTTGTTTTGGGTTCTTCCTAGTCATAAATCAAAATTAAATTAAATCATTAACTTTTTCCAAGCCCTCGTCGACGGCGCCAATTTGACAAGCGTGTTTAACTAACAAATAATATTCCTTAATCTCAAATAAAAGAAATAAAAATAGCAAAATAGAAAGAAGAAGAAAGATTGATCCGCGGGGACTTTGAAGTTGCTAATATAGAAGGCTTTTGATTCTAGTCTAGGCGAAAATTATAAGTAAAAATGGATGATTTGTTTGAAAGAACGAAAAATAAATAAGAATTTAATCTAATAAAATTAAAAAAAGTAAATTGAGATGAAAATTCAATACAGTAAAAACATGCTCAAGCTTTGCTTTGCCTCAATTCCCGTTGATTATTGAATAAGATTTTTACTTCGAATTAATGTCGATTACAGTATACAAACTTTTTTTTTATCTCTGGTAAACTGACAATCCAAAATCAATCTTTGGAAAAAAAATGTTTTCTCAATGAGGACTAACTACGACTATCGTCACCAGTGCCAACTCAGTTTAAGATTTGGAAAAATCTGACTCGGGCTATGTTTTATCAATGAAAATCGAATCTGATCTCAATTTCCCTTAGCTCACCGTCGCTAAGTGTGCTTCCAAGAAGTCGAACTTGTTACCAGTTGATTCTTCATCCCAACTTTAAATCAAAACAACAATCAAACGAACAACTCTTTGTTGGAAGTCAAACTCAAGATCTTGGAATTATGTAGAAGCTTAATGAAGTGGAGCAATATAAGACATAAGTGCATGTCGGCAAAGATATTTTAGAATTGGTTGAAACGTGGCAGCAACAATTTTTACCGCAAAGGAAAGGAGTATTGGCAAGGCAAGCAAAGTTTGCTTGAATATAAACATGTCCACGTGAAGGATTGAAAAGGCAACAGCTATAATACTTAATAATTAAGAGAAATATGTTGCTATATGTAATATACAAGTGAGGAAAAAATACGAGACGAATTATGGCAATTGGAGCATTCAAATGAAGGCGTTACTAGGCTCTCAAGATTGTTGGGATATCATCGAGGACGGTTACATCGAGCCTGAAAATGCAACAGCAGAAGCAGCCCTGGCCAATGAAGAAAATAAGGTATTGAAGGAATCCCGAAAAAAAGATAAAAGAGCGTTGTTCTTTATTTTTCAAGGAGTATACGAATCTACCTTTGAAAAAATTTATGATGCGAAGACCGCAAAACAAGCATGGGAGATTTTGCAAAAATCTCTACAATGTGCCGAAAAAGCAAAAAATGTACACTTACAAACTCTCAGAGTTGAGTTTGAGATGTTAAAAATGAAAAATAAAGAAACCATCGATGATTATATTAGCCGTGTGAAAGCGTTCGTGAATGAAATGAAAAGAAATGGTGAATCACTCGACGATGTTAGAGTGATGGAAAAAAATTTACGGTCATTAACAAGAAAATTCGATTACGTGGTTGTGGCAATCGAAGAATCGAGAGATTTATCCCAAATATCGATCGATGAGCTTGTGGATTCACTTCAAGCCCATGAGCATAAAATAAAACAAAATGAAGATTCTGAAAATTTGGAGCAAGCTCTACAAAGCAAGATGAATGTCAATGAAGGGGAAGCTAGCAGCTACACACGAGGTCGAGGAAATCGTGGTGGTTATCGTGAAAGATACAGAGGAGGATGAGGAACTCGTGGACGTGGTGGTTGATCATATGGCACCAATCAAATAAGTGAAAACAATCCAATATCAAGCCGTGGACGGGGATTCAGAGGCCGAGGTAGAGGAAGATATCAACAAGGAAATAAATCCCAGGTACAATGTTATAATTGAAATAAGTATGGTCATTATAGTTATGAGTGTAGATATGCTCCTAAACAAGAAGAAATAAATAACGTAGCAGCAGTTGAAGAAGAAAAAAATTAAAAAATCTCATGTATTCCTCACTCATAAAGGAAATGAAGAATTCAAGAAAAATATTTGGTATCTTGATAATTGTGCCAGTAACCATATGTATAGACAAAAGGAACTGTTTGTGAAATTAGATGAAACAGTCCATGGGCGAGTAACTTTCGGAGATGACTCGCACGCAGAACTAAAAGGAAAAGGTGAAGTCAT